GACGAAAGGGGAGAAAAGAAAAGAAATTGTTATTTTTATTGGAAACAGACAGAAGGAGTGATGCGTTGCATTTGCTACACTACGCATGTTTATTGAATTATAATTGATTTTATCATACTGTCGCTTCTTGTGTTACTATGTACACAGAAGCAAAAAACATCATACATTCAAAACTTATTCAATTGCAACATTAGTTTGACCAATGACTCATTTTGATACCAATTTAGTTGTTTTAGATAAAGAATAAAAGTAACTCAATCTCAGTTCATCAGAAATGTCGAATAATTCTTCTATATTCACAAGTATTCAATCCTCATCAGTACCTCAAACAACAACAAATGCCTATAATGATCGTTTATTTTTGCACACAATTGCTTGTCAAGCTATTGCTGGAGCATTTACTTGGGCAGCGATTCTTATCACTGGTTATCATGTAAAAGACAAAAAAAAAAAACAACTAGTTTATTTTTCTTATTTTCTTTTGATTTGTTTTTTTAGATTTATCTTCATTTACGTCATTACAATGTTCCATCTGAACAGAAATGGATTGTTCGTCTTTTATTCATAGTACCTATCTACTCATTTGTATCATGGCTTAGTTTAATTCTTTTTACCAATGATTCTTATTATGTCTATTTTCATGCTATTCGAGATTGTTATGAAGGTTCGTTTCATTATGGAAAAATTTTTTTAAGTAAAATAAAACATGCTTTGTTTAGCTTTTGTCATCTATAGTTTTCTTTCACTTTGCTATGAATATTTGGGTGGTGAAGGATCTATCATGGCAGAAATTCGTGGTAAACGTATTGAGTAAGTCATAAAATTTAAATACTAAAATCAATGAATTTCTTTTGCTAGACGAAGGTGGCGAACATGTACGTGTTGTTTGTATAATCGTGAATATACCATTGGATTTTTAAGATTTTGTAAACAGGTAAAAACAATGATAATCAAAAGATTTAATTGAACAATGTTTTTTTTTTATAGGCAACACTTCAATTTTGTTTGGTAAAACCTTTAATGTCTGTAGTTATACTTGTCTTACAGGCATTTGATAAATATAAAGATGGAGATTTTTCGACAAAAGGTGGTTATCTTTATATTACATTAGTTTATAATGTTACTATATCACTTGCACTTTATGGATTGTTTTTATTTTATGAAGCAACTAAACATATTTTAGCTAAATATGATCCTATTTTGAAGTTTTTAACAGTTAAATCAGTTATTTTTTTAACATTTTGGCAAGGTAAATTGTGTTTAATGCGTAATGAAGGTTGAAAACAAAAGAAAGAATTTTTATTTTAGGAGTACTTTTGGCTATATTTGAAGAATTCGGAGTCATTCAAGCATTTCAAGGAAAAACAAATTTAAGTGTTGGTACTGTTGCTGCTGGTAATTAATTTTATTTTTAAGTTTCAAATTAGTTTTTTTTTTGTTATTTGTAATAGGTTGGCAAAATTTTTTTATTTGTATTGAAATGTGTTTGGCTTCTATTGCTTTACGTTTTGCATTTCCACATGAACCTTATATGATACGCGACAATTATCTTCCCTCATCAACAATAAATAATGGACAAGGAGAAATAACAGGTGCTGGTGGACGAATAGTAACAATGCAAAGTATTTCCAATAATCTTAAAGAAACAATGAATCCAAAAGATATTATGCATGGTACAGATAAAAAGATAATTTTTTTCTGGAAAAGAAAATGCTTTGTAATTATTTCTTTGTAGATGCAATTCATAATTTTCATCCACAATACAGAGATTATACACAATATAATGCACAAGTAAGGTCTTTTCTCTGTTTATCTGTTTATATATATATAAATAAATGAATCTATCTATCTCTCAGGCAGCTCGTCTGGACACAGAATTACCTTCTGTGATTTTTCAGCTTCCTCGGGTATATCTGGGCTTTTCTTTTCTTTCTGGTGTCAGCAATAACTACTTCTTCAACTAATGCTTTTTATTTTCACTTATTAAGAAATATTCTTATTATTTATTTTAAATATTTTTTTTTATCTTTAGACAACTGATGATCGATTAACAGTTGTTTCATCATCGAATGGAAATCCATATTCAACACCGAATGATGGACCAGCTACATTACCTATTGAAACGTCAGTTCAAAATCCGAATAGCATTCTACAAAATTTTCCTAATAGATTAATACCAAAAATATTAACAAAAAAAGATGCAGAAAAAGATATGTTATTAATTAATGACGATGTTTAAAATTTTCTTATTATATTGCTATTCTAGTCATCAATATTGATGATTTCCTTTATATCTTCATGTTGTATCAAACAAATCATTAAACATATACGCAAATCAAAATAAAATGCAAAGCTTTCTCTTGATTTAATTTATTTTCTTTTCTATCTTATCTATTTCAATGATAATCATAAAATCTTTTGTTTGTTTGTTGTAACTCGACTTTTCTTATTATTGTTGTGTATAGTTATACAAAAAAAAATCCAAGACCAAAAAAAGAAGAAAGAAATCAAATCATTCATTGCATTTATTATTAGAGTAAATCAGTTTTATGTAAAAGTATTATTGAATGTTTATTTTGAAATAAAATACTGATTTGTTCTCTAACAAATGTGTTAAAATATTTCTTTTTCAGATAATGATTTTTAATGTGTATAGCATAGTGTTTGTTGTGTTGAATTTTATTGGTAATATTCAAGCAGAAGGAGGTAGTTTATGTGCCGGTAAAAATGTAACTAGTCAACCTGTTATTGAGTATTGTGATTCTCAAGATGGTTATCTAATTTTTCGATGTTGTCGTTCATATGATAATGAAACATTCATAGCTGCTGATTTAATGGACCTTAATTTAACTGAAATCCCTGATTTTACACAATTTGAAAATTACAATTTAAGTGTTATTGATCTTCGTTCAAATCCTGAACTTATACCTTCACCGGATTATGATTTTCTCACATTAAAATATCTTGATGACCTTATTTTACCTGAAAACTTTAGTTGTCCAGGTGGACACGATGTATGGGAAATAGTTGATAAAATAGCTGATCCTGTAGGAAATCGTTGTAGACATCAAAAAAATTTTTGTTCAAATTTAACAGATATATGTGATGAAAATGGTTCATATTGTAGTACGAATGGACCTAAGCATTTTTTATGTTTATGTAAAGATGGTCTTCATGGTTATAAATGTTTACGAAATGGCAAATTTCCAACAGTTGCATTTTTTGTTTCGACTATAGCTGTAACTGCGATTGCAAGTACTTTTCTTTATTGGACACAAAGACGACATGTTAAACAATAGCTTCTAATAGAATTTATGTGATAATTTTTTTTTCTTTTTTATTATTTGTCAATTAAGTGCAATGAGAAATTTTTTATTTGTTTCTTTTTATACTGAATTTAAATTAGATTCCTTTTTTCTATTTTCATACTTCAAGTAGTATAAAACTAATGCAATGAATGTAATTTTCACCTAATTTATATTTGTTTTTTTTTAATGAAATATTCTGATTAAAAACAAAGTCTTTGTTTTTGTCTTAAAGAAAAATGAAAATGATCTAAATTAGACATATATTCAAAATAGGTTCCGTTAAGAAGAATAGTTCCCATAGGTAATCTCTCATTCAAATCAGTTCTTCGTTTTTCTTGCCTAAGTGTTTCCATATAAGAATATGCTCATTTTTGATATCAGTATCATATAAATAATCAGATTTTGAAATATAAAATTTGTCTATGACATGGTGTATATACCACTTCGAGTATTTTTCAAAATTGGAAATCGTATACATATCAAATCAAATCAATCAGAAGTGAGTGGAAATAGCCTACAGAGTAATTTTCCTTTTGTTGATATAGAAAATTATTAGTATTTCGATAGTGTCGGAAATATCCACACAGTGCATTTTAGTAACTTCTAACATTACATAAACATCTATTTTTACTTTTATAGAGAAGCTTAATTTATAAAAAAAAAACGCTACCAAAAGGTTAATGAAATTTATGTTGATGCTGACTTTTGCGAGAATTTGACGTACATTCATTATGTCAATTTCATCGATGCATAGTATACATACATAATAAGTAATGCTTGTAATAAAAATATGTACTTATGAATCATATTTATCATGTGCTTGACTCAATAAATGTTTCTCATGTCACTACTTCAACATGTATACCTTAAACATGATTGATACTTTGACCTTTGTTTTTCATTTTGTTTTTTTCTTTTTTGCTTATCATTTGTTTTTAGAAGTTTTGACAAGCATTAACACATTATAGACTAAATAAGAAAAATAATATTCTAATATAATATTTCTGTATCGAATATTATTTATACGAATATGGCTGAATCAACAACTTCAACGAGTAGTATTCCTTCGGTAATGAAAGCTGCTCAACAAAATAATTTTGGAGAAATACGTAATGTATTAACACTTCGTGATGATGTACCAGTACCTCGAAAATTATCAGCTAAACAAATTCTTGTTCGAGTTCATGCTGCTTCAATTAATCCAGTTGATTGGAAATTATTAAATGGAAATTTATCTCTTGTTATTCATTATTCATTTCCTCATATACCAGGTAATGATGTTGCTGGCGTTGTTGTCGATATTGGTTCAGAAGTAAAACGTTTTCAAATCGGTGATAAAGTCTATGGAAATGTTGGTGTTCATGGTGGTAGTTATGCTGAATATGTTTGTGGAAATGAATCAATGTTTGCATTAAAACCAAAAAATTTAACAATGGAAGAAGCAGCCGCTGTACCATTAGCATGTGAAACAAGTTATCAAGCATTATTTAAAAAAGTTTCACCTCCTGTTGGAGCAGGAACTAAAATTTTCATTTGTGGTGGTAGTTCAGCAACAGGGTTTTTTGCTATTCAATTAGCAAAAGCTGTTGGTGCTCAAGTTGCAACAACATGTTCACAAAGAAATTTTAATTTTTTGAAACAACTTGGTTTGCTTATATTTAATTTTAGTTGTAAATTATTGTTGAATATTTTGTTCTTTTTTTTTAGGCTATACAATAACAGAAAATAAAGACGAAATAAATAATGATCAACAACAAATACTTGTTATTGATTATAATGCGAAAGATTTTGGACAAGAACTCAAAGGTAAATATTATCATCAAATATAATTTTTCTAATTCTATTTATTTATTTCGTTTATCTTGTTTTAAAGGCCACAATTATGATGTTGTGTATGATTGTGTTGGTGGTGAACAACAATGGATATCAGCTCAACAAATATTGAAACAAGGTGGTCAATTTATTACTATTGTTGGTGACGATACAAAATCAACTATTTCATTAAAATCGGTTGCTACAGGTGGTGCTAGTTTAATAAATCGCAAATTTTGGTCAGTTTTTAGTTCAAGTCATCATGGTTATATACTGCATTTTCTCAATCAAACACCTGAAGAACTTGATGACATACGAACAAATTATATTGAAACTGGCAAAGTTAAACCATTAATTGATACTATCTATGATTGGCGAAAGGATGGCGTCGAAGCATTGTATTCATTTTATGAAAAATCAAAAAGTGGAAAAGCACAAGGAAAATTAATTCTTAAAATGATTGATGAAGAATAAATTCAACTTCTATTCATTTTTCTTTTAGATATTTTATCAAACTTTAAATTTCATTGAATAGATCTATGTATCCACTTTCATATTATAGTTTTTTTTTGTGATTCAATAAAGAATATATCGTTATGAACAATACTCGTTTATTTATGAAAAAAAAAAATATTCATATACATACAATCATTGATTTGATAACAATATTCTTTTAATACAAAATAAATATATTGTAGAACTACGTTCTATTTCAATAATTGCATTAGCTATGTTACTATGACCTAAGTACTTTGTAGCAAGTGGACAGAACAGTATGAGTGCTGTCATCTTCAAATGAGAGAATTTTATTAGATTAAAACGGACACGAATACTATCTATCAATAGTATATAGTTAAGTAATAATTTCAAAGCCTGTCAAACAAAAAATAGCACGTAGCTTATCCGTAATCGAGACATAACTAAATTAGTTTGTTGACTAAACAAATAATAATTATAAAGATCACGGAAGAATTAATAGAATTATCTGCATTTGGTACAGATTAACCATAGATATATTTAATCACTTAAATATGACTTAAACATGTATATTCATTTAAATTCTTAGTCAAATGAAAATACTCAGCAATACTTTTTATAGATCAATATTATACAGATAGAAATGATGTCTTCTTCTTTTTTATGATATATATTTACCGAATAAAGAGATAAGTTATCTATTAAATGGATGATTATAATGACAACTCGGCTATTTTCATTGATACAGAAACAAAAAAAATGAGAGAATAAACCAAATAAATCTAACTATAAAGAATAAAAAGAAGTGAGTTTTTTTTCTACTTATGATACAAGTTGTCATCGCTTTTTTTTTGCATTCTCCACTAATCCATCGTAAGCAGAAGAAAAAAAAAACAACGTGACAAAAAAAGCATACGGAATACTGAAATAAGTATAGTAAAGAAGAGTTCTGATACAAAAGAAGAGACTTCAGTTAATATAAAAATAAAGAAGAAAAAAAGACAGTGTTTGAAGGCCAAATATATTACATATTCACAGTTAGAAATGCTACACGCTGGCATTGAAGCTCTTTTCGGTCGTAATCGTGATGGTCACCGAATAAGACATATATTTCATTTTCATCGTCGTCATCATAATCATGTCTCTGATCATAAAGATGAACACAATGAATTAGCTAAATACTTTCTGGATAAGCCACAGTTAGAAAAAGTATTAATTCATGATTCCATATTTGGTTTTGCTGCAATGCAAGGATGGCGATCAACTATGGAAGATCAACATAAAGATTTAATACCATTGGATAATCATGCATGGAAATCTTGGTCATATTTTGCTATTTTTGATGGTCATAATGGTAAGAATACAGAAAAAGAAATATTTAATAATAAAAAAAAAACATATGTTCTTTAAAGGTGTTGATACAGCAAAAAATGCATCGGAACAACTTCATATTCATTTAGTAAATACACTTAATCACATGTTTGATAAGAAAAATGATTGTGTGAAATCATCTGATGGATCTGGTTGTTCATCACAACTTGATCTTGATCAATTGCATGCTGCCATTAAACAAACATATTTTGAATTAGACAAAGATTTAAGAAAATTAGTTAAAGATGATAGTGGTTGTGTATGTGTAAGTTTTAAAGATAATTATATTTTTTTTTTAAAGAAATACTCGAAATATTTAGATAACATGTCTTATTAGTCCTGAGAAAATATATTTAATTAATATTGGTGATTCTCGTGCTATTATTATTTCTAATGATGGTCATGTTTTAGCACATACCGCAGGTAAATATTATTTATTTAGATGGAGTTTTTTTAAATTTCTCTATGAAATACAATTAGATCATACACCTGAAGATCCCGCTGAACAAGAACGTATTCATGAAGCTGGTGGTAAAATATCTAAATCATGTATCGGTGGTGTTTTACGTGTAGAAAATCAATTAGCTATGACTCGTGTATTAGGAGATTTTGCTATGGATAAACATGTTGTTCCACCCATGGCAGATATTGTTGAATATCCAAGAAATTCTTTAGCATCATATATTGTTCTTGCATGTGATGGGATTTGGGATGTAATGACAAATGAAGATGTTGCTTTATTCGTTGTGCATCGGGCATCAAAAACTAAATTAGCAGATATTGCATCACAATTACTAGATGAATGTTTACGTAAACGAAGTACAGATAATATGAGTGTATATATCGTTAAAGTCTAAATTTCGTATAAATAAATTTTTCTTCAAAAATCAATTAAAAATTTTATTAATTCAAACAACTTAAATAAGTATAGATTCTTGTTATTTTCCAATGACAGAATACTATTTGTTGATTATTTTATTTGTGACATCAACTCCAACGGATGTTTTCTTTGCATTCAACACAAAAAAAGTGATGTATGACGTACACTTCTTTCAAGTAAAAAGTCTTATTTCTTTTTCTAAAAATAAATTCTTCGACGCAATTAGAACATCTATTCATAATAGAAAATCTTTCTCCCTTGAATAAAGAAAGGAAAAAGCTAGTTTAATACAATCCCTTTGGCAATCAACTTTTTAATAATTTCCGTAGTTCATTGCTTAGAGTATATGTACACATCAATATGAAAGTTCAACATAAACGGTATTTTTTTTTTGGTATCTTAGCTTTATATCACCTCGCAATGAAACAATTGAGAAAAAAAACTGGTAAAAAGTAATAATTAATCAAAAAACATTTCTTCAGTAAAGCCATATCTCGTAGTACTTCGACGTTTTCTTTATGTTTCCTTTACAAAAAATTCACTCTTACAATAATTAGACATCAGTCATGCAGTACGCACTTCTAAAAATGACATATATGATAAAAATCTTTTACCAATAGGAACCTAATCCAGTAAAATATCTCCATCTATTAGATAAAGCTATGGTCTCTCAGTGCACTTTCTTCTGAAAATTTTAATACGACCATGGCACAGAAGAGCACGTTCTTTGCTAAGAATAAAATATATCTCTGAGAACAAACATTGAAACATGTTCTTAGAGTACACTTTCTATCTTTGAGAACAAATTTTTTTTTTAAAGTAAAATATATATTTTTCGAAACAGGTTCACAGGACCGTAAAAAACATCCTTAACATATATTGAGAAAGTCCCTTTTTTTTATAGAAATTGCTTCTTTGTAGATAACTATAATTATTCTAGTGAACTACGGACTATTAGGTAAGTTGGTAATATATTTTACTTTGAATCGATTCGATCTTAACTAATTGAATCTGGGCAAAATGATCTGTCTTAAATAGTATTTATTTAAAATATTCTAGTTTTTTCTTTTCTCAACTACTTAACTCTATGGAACGATAACTCTTGCGTACAAATGATTCTATTTCTGAGAAAAAAAGTATTTCTATTATAAATCGTATCAACCTTTTAGATTGTTTCAAAAAAAAAACATTCTTCTTACCAAGGACTATTTTCTTTTTTTTTGTACTAAAATATTATCCGTTTTAATTTCATTACACAAGCATCGTAATACTAAAATAAGCTCATTTACTAATAATCAAATAGAAAAAAAAAGTTATAATAAGAACCTGCCGTTAAGATTATCGCAATGTATGCCTTTTTTGAGACACTTAATAGAAGATTTAATTATAATTCGTTAACCATTAGACAGAATAGACGTCTTCAGGTCTTCTCATGCATCGAGGCTTTTATCTAATGCTTTGTTCCATTTGATATTTTATTCTTGCTTCGTGCATGATTTTCTATGAATGATATAACACAGTGCATTCATTTGGAAAAACAGATTGCCCATGAAGTCTTGACAGGCTTATTTTTACGAAAGAAAAAACAACGTAATGATCAATATAATATTATATACTAGACAACATTAAATTTGATGTCTATCTATATTGAGTATAAATAATAGATCTATGATGAATCAATAAAAGGTTTGATATAATGAGTTCTATTCTTTATGAAAATATTACCTCAATGATAAAACGCAAAAAAAGACTTGTCTTACCATATAGTTCTACAAAGCATTAATCTATATATTAAATTACTTTTTCTCTTCATTAATTTTGTTTGTTGGAAGATTCAACTTTGTAAACGTCTCTATTGAGTATTAATAATAAATACATGACATATGAGTAGACAATTCATCTTACCATATGACTTTGTCATGCTTTGATTAGACATAACAATATCTGATTATTATTGTACTCACATACTCGTTAAATGAAGTAAATATCTATGTAAAAAGAAAGTCACATGAAACTGAAAATTATTCAACATGTAGATTTATTACAAATTGATTCTTCGATGATTGATTGGATTCTGATAACAGGAATAAGATAAGAAAAAAGATATTTGAGCTACTCGTGTTTATTAGAAGAAAAAGTGCTTCTCAGACAATTCATTCACTGATCGTACGAGAGAATCGTTTCAAGTAATAAATCATGTTTGAGCTCGGACTTCCTGCATAAGATAGACAACATTGGAATATGAAATCTTACAAAAGGACACACGTCCTTAGACCATCCTCTTTTCAGAGTTATAGCTATCTTACTCATAATTTAGGTTATGGTACGATATGTACCAACAGATCTAATGATGGTATTCAAGTCTGAAATTTTACCCGTAGATGGATCTAGTTGTGACTAGAATGTTCTGAAAATTTTAGCTAAAAATGTTGTTTCCTTTCACAAGATATTGAATTTTCAAAAATTACTCATATCCTGCGAATGGTGTGAAAATCTCACATTTTCAAAAATTCAATATCTCGCGAAGGAAACATGTTTTCGAACTGAAATTTCCAGAACATCCTAGTCTCAACTAGATCTATTTGTGGACGAAGTTTTAAATCGAAATGCCTTCCTTCAATTTGTCAGTACATACCATGCCATCGTCTAAAACTCCAGAAAAATGGCTATAACTCTGAAAAGGAAGGTTTAAGTGTACTTATCTTTTTAAGACACTTCATATCTCACTGGAATCTGCCTGATGCAC